AACACCTAATAATAAAACTATACGTTAGAAAGAGAAAAGAAAACAAAGGGAAATTTTGTTTTTCTTTTCATGTTGATAATATTATGCAAAATGAAAAAATACACTCAATGAATATTGAAGAAGAAAATTTAGAAACATATTTTCTCATATGGCTAGATAATTCAACTGCAAATATTCAGAAGAAACAACGTACTCAAACAGAACTTCAATCATCAATTCATTATTTAAAAATATTTTGTGATGAAGAACAATGTGAAAATTATATTCAATCATTAACAAATGATGATAGAAGTATATTTATTGTTAATGCTCAATTAGGAAAAAATTTTATTCCTCGAATTCATCAATTACCACAAATAACTTCCATCTATGTTATTTGTGTCGACAAAAGTAAACATCAAACATGGGCTAATCAATATAAAAAGGTGAAATTTAATTTTACATTTTTCTTTATGAAGATCTCTCTATTGAGAAAATAAAATAATAAAAGTGGTCTCAGACAATCTTCTTCCAAAAAATCTAATAAACTCAGATAATCATCATTGGGTCTATATGATTTTCTTATATGGTTGTTTTCCACTTGAATATAACTCATTGTATTCACATATATTGATCTATATAAAACTGTTTGTTCCTCTTTGAATACAAACAAAATGACGAAACTTTGAACAAGTTTTCGAACGATAAGACCTTCAAAATTAAATTTTCTGTAATAAGTTTATCAAAATTTGAATCTTTTCGAGAATATATCGAACATATCAACAAATAGTTATGATCACGCAAAAAATTGACTTTTGACTGGCATGAACGAAGTTCTTCATAAAATAAGTTAATTGTGCGGGGCTATCAACTTTTTTGTATCATTCCTAGATTATAAAGTTAATAATCACGAAAAACTGTGTTCAGAATTAGATTGAAAAAAAATCAATTTTCAAATCGTTAGCAGTAACAGGTTCGTCTTGTTTCACGTTTATATCGTACAGGAATTGCACTAATAGCTTGTCAAAAATTTGAATTTTCTACGAGAAAGATTTTACTTAAAATCGAAATAATTTTGAAAATAGATCAAGTATGTGCAATAACTGTACAACTTTATACTAAATACTTCAACTATGAAAATATTCAAGTAGAAAATAATGCTATTTGAATGATGATTACTTAATAATTAAACAGGACTTATCTATTTTCGATATTAGATAAAATGTTTAGTAAGTCAATATGATGAACTTATATCTAAAGTTGAACATGATCAAGAACGAAGAATTAAAGCGAAAATTGACGAACCTTTATCAATAAGTATTCTTGATGAAAATCTGACTAATATTATTAATAATAATTTTCAAGAATGTTCAACGACAATTGATAATGATTTTACTTATTCTTATTCACTTGTTAATTGTCTCGTTAAAATGAAGTCATTTTATTCTGAACAAAAACAATTAATTAAATTATGTGAAAATATTTATAAAGAAAATTCAAGTGAATTATTAATACTTGAAGAATTTAGAAAAAAATATTCATCTTTAAACTCATTATCTTGGTTAACAAGAAATTCATTTATTCATAGATTAATTAATAAAGCAATAAGAATGAAAAATTTTCGTATTTTATTTTTATCTCGATTTTATTTTCAAGATATTTATCAAGAACTTCAAAAACATAAATGTTTTAAAACTATTCGTGTTTATCGAAGTTATCATCTTTCAAAAAACCAATTAAATTTATTCGAAAATTCTATTGGAAAAATAATTTCAATAAATTCATTTTTTCTAACAAATCTAAGTCGTCGACAATCGATGTCTTATTTCAAAGATTCAATTCTTAACGATGATCATCATTCTATTCTATTTGAAATTGATGCTGATCCTCGTTTGAATGATATTCAACCGTTTGCTAATATAACATCATTAAGTTATTCTATTGGAGAACAAATTGTACTTTTTATGTCTGGTTCATTATTTCGAATAATTAATATTCAACATGATAATAATTCATTTGTTAGTATTATTCAATTAAAACTATGCAGTCAAAATGAACAAGATTTGAATATATTAAAACTATCAGATCAATTTGATTTTATTTCATTTGGTCAATTAATAATTGATAGAAAAAAATTTGATCAAGCTCAAATATATTATAATTATTTAATTCCTCAAATGTCTGATGATAATGCAGATATTACTATATGTTATGATGCACTTGGATATGTTCTATCAGAAAAACATCAATATAATTCAAGTTTAAAATGGTATGAAAAATCACTTATAATTAAAAAGAAATTATTTGATCCTTTTGATCCACGTATAACATCTACGTATAATTCAATTGCTTCCCTACATCTTATTAATAATAATTATAATCGAGCATTAGAATTTTATGAGAAAGCATTTCAAATTTTTCAACAAAAATATGGCGATGATCATCCACGTCTAGCAGAATGCTTTAATAATATGGCAATGATTCATAAAAAACAAGAACACTATCGAAAAGCTCTTAAATTATATAACCAAGCAGTATCTATTTATGAAAACCATAATGTCGATAATAATATTAATTTAGCTTTGTCTTATAAAAATGTTGGTTTAGTTTATCGTCATCTAACTGAATATGATCTTGCATTAGAATATTTTAATCGATCATTAAAAATTTATGAAAGTATTCTTCCGCTTAAACATTCTCTTATTTCAATGACATTAGAAAATATTGCAAATATTTATTGTGATAAAGAAAATTATCGTCAAGCACTTAAATATTATGAGAAAGCAGCTAAGATTTATCGTCATATATTACCTTCAACACATCCTGATGTTTTACAAATTCGACTGATTATTAAAAAAATTGAAGCAAAAATTTAAATTGAATTTGTTCAATTCTTTTTTAATAACAAATAATCAATTGTATTCATTTCAATAAATATTAAGGATATTTCAAATTAATAATCATTAAAAATGCGTGATGAATAAAATCTAAAAGAAACTAAAACTAATTCAAAGAGTGAGAACATAGAAGCAAACAGATTGACCCACTACAACGGAGAAATAGGAGAAATTAGACTTTTTATTCTTCAGATAGATTATTTCTTTTTCTTGAAATCTATTCCTAAATACGTCTAGTAAACAGTTAAGTAAAACAAAATGTTATTTCATGTTCCAAAATCACTTGTGTCTATGATGTTGATTACGAGCGTAAGAGTGGAAAAATTTAATTCACTGAGATTTTAGATTCATGTCAAAAACAAAACAGAAGCGATTTTTATTTGCTCATCATTACTCATCTAACACGATCTGAAAAGAGTGATAATCGCTCACGTAGATTATGTCAGGTAGAGATTCGAGTATTTTGAGGGTCGATTCACCCAAAAGAGTGTTCCAACAAAACCGAAACGTGTTCCAAGTACTACTTCTCGAACTCTACCAGATAGTGAAAATCGTATATCGATAGAAAGTTTCGTTCTCAAGAAATAATCGAATCCCGAGCTCAATTTAGAATTTTCAGTAGTATTTCGTCGGCTAATTCGCCTGACATAATGAGTCCAGCAGATAACTGGTCTTTCTACATAAATTTCTGTAGGCTCGTTATGTAGGAACAATTGAATATCAGAAGCAGGATGAATTTGTACTAGATGATCTGTTATAGCGCGGTAATTTGGTGATTGTAGAGGCTGAATTCAGAGATTATGCTAAGGGTAGCTTCTGGTTAGTTTTTGAATGTTTTTATGTATGGGAAGCAACTTTTGTTATTATCATCGGTTTCGTAACCGATGTTCATTGGCTCGGTTTCTTCTGTTTGATGGCTGTGTATTCTGTTGTAATGGTGCTAGGTGTGGGTTTAAGTGAATAGAAAATCATAATCACACTCGTATCCTTCATTCATTTTCCGAATTATTGTCTAAATGAAACGATGATTATATGGACGTGAGAAAAACAAAGAAAAAATTTATTCTCTATAAAACAACATGTCATCTCGATAATTATCAATGCAACTCACTGGTTCATCAAGAAAGAGTACCTGAAATAACGTGCCTTTGAAATAAAGAAGAAGAAAGAATGAAATATTTTTCGAGGTTGAGGGTATAGATTTGTTGACTACCTACACTCTAAAAGAGTTTGTGCCCTTGTCACTCTGTTTCAAGAGAAATAAAGATAAGAAATTTCCATAGAAATAGTATTATTATATGTTTTCTATTGATTTTGTTCTTTTTTATGTTTCAACCTAGGAATATTTCTTCTAGCTAGAACTTCTTTTTGGAAACTCTTTGTATATATGCCTGCAATCTGTAAAAAAAATATTAGCCCTAGCAGAAGAGATATCTTATAGATAAAGATGAAAAGCTCTTCTTATTAATTGTTTTATCATTACTAGTACTATTCTGATACATTGCTGCATGAAAACAGTACATATTCAAGATTTTTTTCGTCAGCTCGTCTATGACATCTGTGAACGTACTCAAATAAACCACAGAATAAAGAGGATATAAGTGACCCTATGTTCATGCGAGACGTAAATTGATATCGTTCGTCATTCTTTGCTTTGGTTTTCTATACATGATATTTTTGTCTATTTTTTTCAATAAAGTATAGATAATAGATTTTACATATGTCTACCATGTATGTTAGTTGTATGCAAACTACGATGGACAGGAAATTATATATCTTCAGATGAAAACTTCCATACGAGTAATATTTTTACAGACTGTAAGCATATATACGAGAAGTTTCAAAAACAATTGCTGCTAGGAGAATACTCCTGTGTTGAAACATAAAAAAAGAACAAAATCAATAGAAAACATATAATAATACTATTCCTATGGAAACTTGTTATCTTTTTTGTTTCTTTGAAATAGAGTGGCAAGGGCACAAACTCTTCTAGAGTTTTATCGACACTATGCTCCATACCTATGAACAGAATATGAGCTCAAACAAAGGGGTATCCGTTGCTGAAATTACCTCGTTAGTTAAATTTACCATCAAAATAGTGAGGTAAAAGTCGTTTTTTTACCATCATTCACTTTGATCGATGTTGAACTTCTGTACTCGATGATTATGATGATCACTCACATAGAGATTACCCTGTCGATCAGACGACAAACCGGTGGGAAGATTGAGTTGATTGGCTTGATCTCCTAGACCATTTCCACCAGCGATGATACTTCCTTGTGTAGTGCCTTCAGGCCAACGCATGATTCGACAATTACCGCAATCAGAGACATACACAGTACCTGACTCATCAACAACCATTCCATCAGGATATGATAACTGTGTGAGAGCACTTCCTTGACCTTGACCACCAGCTACAACAATCCCTTGTTTTGCACCTTCCATCCACTTCATCACACGATGATTGCTCAAATCCGATACATACACGGTATGATCTCGGTTGACAAAGACGTATCTTGGATTGTTCAACTGATCGAGATGATTGCCCTGTCCGTTTCCACCCGCTACCACTGCTCCTTGAGTGTCTTCGATTCCATATCGTCTCACCTCATGTTTATCATAATCAACAACATAGAGAAATCCGTTGTCGTCCATGGTCAAGCCCCAACATTCCACATTAGTGATGATCGTCTCTCCACTTGTACTATTTTTTCGAGGCCATCGAACTACTCTTTTGTTTTGATTATCACAAATGATGAGAGAATCTCTTGCTCGATCGACAATCACATCTCGTGGATAGTTCAATTGATCAGCACGGTTTCCTTGTCCGTTTCCACCGGCTACAACTCGACCAGTTGTCGAACCACATTCCCATGCCATGATACGGTGATTTGAGGAGTCAGCAATGTAGATAGTTTGATTGTCATCATCTACAAACAAACCATATGGATAGGCTAGTTGATTGATTCCATTACCATATCCATTTCCACCAGCAACACAGACAGCATTCTGAATCCATTTAATAGTGGCATTGAGATTGTCACTGGGCAGCAGCAGTACTGAAAAAAATATATAATATCGATCGCTCACTTTCTTTATTAATCAATAGTTGCTGGAATAGTTCTATCTGATCGAAAATACAACGTAATTAGTATCTACATCCATATGTTTCATTAAGTATTGTCGAGTGAGTACTGCTATAAAATCTTTAGACTGTTCTTGAAACTAGACAGAAATGCGTGCAAAGTCACCGCAGATGGAATGATACATTGATCCATCTGATCGAAATAAATTTATGTGAAAAATCACGAGCTTTACTCTACAGTATTCTGCCTAAAAATCTCGGAGAATAGAATGTGTGATTCAAAAAGAGTGATCAAGAATAGATGATTGTCCGATGAGTTTCATAAAAATAGTCTCGATTTCTTTCGAATTAGACTGGTGAACATTGAGTCTAGGCTAAAGACTCTGCAGAAAGGCGACAATTTGAAGTTAAACATATAGCTGTCGTCTTGAACTTTCTTTATTGAGGATTTCCGAAGAGTACTATATCATTAGTGTCAATGGTTGAAAGAAAATAGGTGAGTGAACTTCATCTTTACAATAGGGATAAACTCAGAAACTATGTCTTTAATTAAAAGAATCTACATGTCTCACACTTTCATCATACTGTCAATTACTAGTAGTGTGGTTTTATTTTCGTTTGATTTTCTATCCAATATATAGAAAGCAACAAAAATCATGTTGATCCGTCGAACAAAATTTGTTGTTCAATATCGATAATGTTACCTAACAGCTGAATGATGAAGAGAATTTCTTCATTCCCACTTGGAGAAATAAAACTGTAATGATGTTCGAAGATTACAATCAATATTCTATAATTTTATCTCAATGTGTGCATAATAGAAATATTTGAAATAATAAAATCAAAGCTGTCGATCAGAACATTTGATCAAATTATACCAACGATTGATGACAATGTCTACTATTTGGTTCTTTACATTCTTCTGATCTATTTCAAAGACCTCGAATGCAGATTGAAATAGATGTGCCAAGTGTTTGTTTTTGAATGAAAATTAGTTTCCAATTAATCTTCTGCAGATATTTTCATCGAAGACCGATTTTCAACATTTCGGTCGATGAAAGTTTTCCTTGAACACAAAAGAGAAGAATGATCAGCTCGATTCGATTCGAATAAAAAGGATCGACACTATTTCTCACCTTTTCATTTTCTTTCAAAGTTTCTCCTTATTATTGATCTTCTATTATGATCAATTCGATTATCGATCGATAGAGTGTGCAGAGATCATTCATTTTGTTTTCGTTGATATGAAATTCAAAAAGGGATTTCTTTCTATATCAGAAGAATGATTGCCACAGAGTTATGATATTTAACAAACTCGCAACAAGTATTGAATATTTTACTTTCAAATGACGAGTGTTTTGTTGACTGAAAATAGTTGAAAGCAACTTGAAATGCTATTTAAGAACTATGGCATATATACAAATATGATAAGTATATATGCATAGTGTTAGTCTCTATTACGAAGCATTTGTCTGATATATTAATCGAATGAGAAGAAAGATTCAGTGCGAGATCTTTCATCTGTCTTGGCACTGATAATATATGCTGGATGTCAAAATTCCACAATCGACAACACAGCGAATAGATAGATCATTTAATTTGACTATTTGAGAAAATCGAATCAGAAAAAAGCAACGGGTTCTTTATTCTTTTCATATCAAATGAAACAGAACACTTACCGCTATTGCTAGCTTCAAGATAGATTTCACCGATGAAAGATGTTGATTTTTGCCTAATGTTGAAATTCAGTAGTTTGTTTAGCATTTTTTCCATTCGTTTCAGCTCTTCATTGAAAAACTGAAGTTCTTTATCAGCAAAATCATTTGCTTTACGACATTGAACCAAGTCTTCAACTGATTTTTTCAATTGACTATTGAGACTAGTTAAAAAACCGGTGATACGTGACGCTAGTTGATTTCGAACGTCATTTGCCATTTGTTGAATCTTCTCAATTGATTCTCGTTCCCATTTATCGATTTGTATCATCAACTGATGTTTGTGTGAGTCGGTCTCTGATGCGTTGATCGTTTGTTTTAGTTGATTGTATTGATATTCGGTTATACCCAGTTGTTCACTCAGTTCATTTCGATGTTCACCGAGATGATCGAAACAAAAATGCTGTGAACATCCATTACACATTATCGTGCCCTTTATGTTGCTGCATTTTACACAAGCTGCATTAAATGTTGCTGTCGCCATCTGAAGATCAATCGTAAAAAATGAAACGAAGCAGGATTGAAAAAAGTGTTGGCGTCAATGCGCACACACGTTTTGTATGGTGTCAACACAAGAGTTATTGCACCACAACAGACTTTTGTTATGTATTGACGTTTTCTTTTCATTCGAAAAGTAAGAGCCAATCAGTGTCACCATTTTGAAAGCTCCACTTCAATACAGAGACAAACGCTCATTTTGTGGATGTGAGTATCGATGTCGGATGCGAGTAGAACAAACATCTCAGCTTCATCCATACGCACACCTATCGTAACCATGTCAATATAACACGCTGTCAACCTATATATGGACAGAAGTTGTGTGAGCGTGGGGTCTGGAGTGTAACTTTGGGTGTGTTTCTTTTGTACATTCACACCCATACCTACATTCCATTGTATATAGATGATTTATTTGCCTTCAATGGCAAGGAACATGTAAAATTTCAAGTATATTTTCTCCTTTGTTGAAAACGTAATACAAATCATCAGAAAAAAGAGTTGAGTGTAAGAGAATATGGCTACCAGTGTCTTCTTCACACACACCCTAGTTTCATCTTGCATAAATGTTAAATTATCAATTATCAGTTTTTTCAAGATTACTCTGTTCAAAGTCTAAAAGATGAATTTTGCTCTTTGGCATTTATTGTTGTTTATAACTGTCCTCAGCCAAACCTACATCAACGCCCTCGTCGTTTTATATACATATCTTTCAATAATTCATTGAAAAGCCAAACCTCAGCTTAGTATCAATATTATCTTTGCAATATCCACTAAAGCATCAAGTCAAACAAAAAAGAAAATGGGTTTCGATTGTTCTTTCGTTGCATTATGTAAAATAAAGCAGGTCAAAAGTATTATAATATACTTGGGATCTCAGGTATGACCCAATAACTTTCAAAATAAAAAAGATGCCATTAAAATAATGTTCGTTTCATCATAATCTCTCAGCAATCAGATTCACTCGTTCCAAATATACTTGTAGTAAATAGCTTACAAGGAAATTTTGTTGACAGAAACCCTAGTATTTTCAACGCTAAACTAATCACGCTTTTTTTTTCAATTTACTGTGATTATCAAGGGCTGCATATGACGAACAACATACTTATGAATCACTTCCTTTGACAAGCATTAAAATTTTTTCTGTCGAATAGCAAAAGAATTACAATATTTCGTCGTTTTTTTCGATAGTAAGAAACGAGTTAACCGTTTTCTTGTTTATTGAAACTTGATTTGTTAGTGATTATATTAGAAACCCTAAAATCATGCCACATGAGTCATTTATGCAATATAAAACGGTCTTATAAGTGAGAAAAAAACCGCTGCATTTTTTACTACAACCAAATGTTTAAAACTTCAATTATCGGTATTTTTTCGATTCTAATCTATTGTGTACGATCGGTCGAAGGTAGGAGAATTTCATTCTTCAGTCCAAAACGCCGCCTCATCTGTTTTTCTTTACGAAATCAATTTATGATAAATCGATTGTTATTTGTCTCCGAGTATTCCTTTGGAAAAGAAGCCGCTCTGTTAAGTTTTTTGTTTGAATCATCAAATCTCATAATAATATTTCGGAACTGAAATCAAGTTAATTATAGAGCTCAACAGAAAAACATGTATTCTTCAAATATGTAGAATTTCGTTTATTTCAGGTCAATCATGCTTATCCTCTGTTGGCAACGATTATATACGTAAAATCAGTAACAATGTCTACAACTATGAGCCAGAATACTATACTGAAAAATGCTGCGAAGTTACGATGGAACTAATGAACAGTATATTTTTGAAATCATCAGCATTAGCTTTGATTCATCCGATATTTTCTTTATATCTAAGTGAATATCCTGACGAATGTACAGCTCTTTCAATGGTCAGTCCTGTACTCAAATTAGCTTGTTTCTTGAAAGCTAAGTATGATCAAGCAACAGATTTTGCCGATCAAATTAGTGTTATCAAAGGTAACAAGCAGTATGAAGCGGCTTTCAATGCAGCTAAATTACAATACAAAAGCATACATGCTATAGAATGTTTATATGGATTAAAAAAATAATTGAATATTATCAATTTAAAATAAAATATGTGATTGGAAGACAGCTTGTTGGACTAGGGTTGATGCGAGTTGAACTAGAACGCGTGCTGCTCTTTTCGAATATATCTTGTTGCGTTTTTATGATAATCTTATGAAATTTGAATGACTCATGCTTTCCATTTTAATTGAAATGCTTCGCATAATCATACTCACATCCGCATCTCTTTAATTATTTTAATCAAAGTACAATGATGTAATACTCAATCTTTTCTTTGAGAGATAGATCGATCTGTTTTTGAATGACTTACGTATACTCACAGCTACATTCACACCAACGTATGAAACTTGAGTTTTTCAGTCTAAAAAACATCTGACAAAAACATCTTTTATATTTGAGAAACAAATTAAATAAAACAAACGAGACAAGGTTGAAGTTTTTTTTTGAGAGAGAAAAGCTTGAAAATTTATAAGTACTGTGAAAGACTAATCTTGCTCCCGTGAAAATATCATAACTTTTTATGTGCATACTGATTTTCAACGGTCAATATGCACTATTTATAGCTGTAACTCTGTTGTTGACAAATACTTTCATGAAAATCGATTAATAAAGCATCTTTCTCAGGTTATATATTGAGATAACCAAGATTATGTTTTAGTGCCTATCTCATTTAGATGGCTAGGTCATACTGATCTCTATTGAATCAAGAAGGATGAAAAAAAAGAGTTAAAAGGAGAAGAGATCTGTAATAGAATGAAGAAAAATAATAGCGATAAGTAACTCAACAAAAGTGCTGGGCCGAGCCTACTGAAACTATCCTTTAGACGACGTGATAGTAGTCGTCGTTCTCTTCTTCTTTGTCTAACTGACGTTTCATCATTGCTGAACATGATTTCTTTTGATGCTCGTTGGTTTTCTTTTCTTTCTGTTACTCTTACGAGTGACAGAAAAAACTAATTAGAGTGACAAGAAGACAATATGATGATTAACTCATTGAACTCAAAACTATAAAAAGTATCGTCGATGTAGTCGGCAGTTCTAGGAGAAAAATGAAAAAAAAAATCGTCAAAACGTGAGTGCTCTTCATTGATGCGAAATGCTTACTGACAGGTGGTTGGTCGAGGTGCATGGCTTATAAGAGTTTTGTTTTCATCTGTTTCTTACGTTCTGTCTTCTTCTCGCTCAGAATAGCACATTCTTTCCCTAATATTCTACATTCCATCACTTCATGGATTATTTTTCTTTCTCTATACCTCGATTTACTTTTACTGAAATATGAGAATGCTTAGTAGTAATGATTATTTGTGTGCTTCTCTATAAAACATGTCATGGAAATAAAATCACTCCATATGTGTAATTTATAATTTGTATTTCGCTTCTTTGATAATGAAATAATATTTTCTTTTGTTGTGAGTATGTTCTCTTCTTCCTTTGACGTCCCAGAATCCCATCTTCTATTTGTTTTGAGTGAAACTTTTACAAACCAGAGACTCTCACATAGAACGAAAGTAGTCTGAAAAATAGCTGAAGTTTGTGTGAAACAAACACTATTACATTCGATAGAAATTGACTATGATTTTCGTACTCTATTAAAAATTATTACAAGAATTTATTTTCGGAAAAAAAATTATTCTTTCAGTAAAGAACTTTTATTGAACCAAAACTAAATTTTTGGCACATTTGCCAACATCGCAAGTTGCTAGCTATTTTTTTTTGAAGTTCTTCAATCTTCAAATTGTAGAAAGTGACTGAAAATTCGAATCATTACTATAGCTAACATAAAACTTTCTATGATGTTTAAACGAACATACATATGTTAGAGAACACGGATATGCATAGGCTCATGTGAACAACTTACTTTCGTTTCCTTTTTCTGAATAAATTAGACATCTGGTAGTACGTCATCGTAAGGATATCCACTTTTCAACAACATTCCAAGTATGTAAAATTAGAAATTGCAAATTGTTAAGAATTGTTGATCAAACATATTTCTCATTCAATATAGTGAGCGAGAATAGCGATTAATATTATAAAATTTTCTCTTTTTTTTCCAACTTTATTTCAGATTGTAATCAAAGTATTATGACTGACAAGACTATGTTAAATGATACCGTTGACATTCATGTTTCTCTCCGATCTGCTGAGGAAACTGAAACAAAAACGGATAACGATCCACCTTTGTATGAATATCCACAACTTGATTTTAGTGGTGGATGGAAAGATCTTGGCTTTGCTATTGTTTTCTGGATTAACGCTATTGCTGTCATATTAGTGGGTATTATCTTAGGCATACCAACTATAGTTTCGTCTCTTAACCATGATACATCCAGTCAAATGGAAACAACATCATTCGATGCTAGCATCAAGCCTTTCGCCTACGGATTGTGTGTTGCAGCAGCTGTTGGTGCATTAGCTTCGTTTCTCAGCCTTTTCATTTTACAACAGTGTGCTGGCCAAATGATCAAATGCTCGTTTTTCATAATTATTATGATGCAGGTTCTTTTAGGAGTGATTCTTTTATTTATACTATGGCCACTTTCTCTAATACCTGCGACCTTTATATTGTTTACGTTGATTTTCTTATCATGTATTCGAAAACGAATATCCTTTGCCGAAGCTCACTTACAAGCAGGCTTTGCTTCTTTACGTAGTCATCCATCGGTAATATTAATAGCTCTTGCCATGATTGTTGTCGAATTCCTGTGGTTTATCTTCTGGTTTCTGATGATATTGGGTATTATAAATTTTTGGAATAATTCTATGACAACTTTCTTTATCATTGTATTGATATTATTACTATTATTTTCGTGGTATTGGGGTGCAATTACATTCGGAAATATCACTCATTTCATTACAGCATGTTCTGTCGGTCATTGGTGGTTTAGTGATGAAGCTAGTCGACAATATACACTCAAAACTAGTGTTAAACGAGCATTTACGACAAATTTTGGAACTATTTGTTTTGGATCATTTTTTGAAGCTTTTATTAAAGCTGCACGTTCTTGTACAGAAAGTAATGGTGGAAAAAATATTCTAGCATGTGCTGCTCACTGTATTCTTCTGACAATCGAAAAACTAGTTGGTTATCTCAATGAATGGGCATTTATTTATGCAGCACTTACTGGTCAAGGATTTGTTCAAGCTAGTCGAAGTTTTATCAAATTATTTCAGCAACGTGGCTGGACAATGGTTATCAATGATAGTCTTATTGAAACTACTATGTTGATTCTCAATTTTGCAATCGGTCTCATATCAGCCGCTGTTGGGGGTCTCATCATGCAACTTATAACGAATGACTCGTCAGAAAAAATTGAATCTATCATTATTATAGTTTTAATTAGTTTTCTAATTGGTCTACTCATGAGTACAATCGTCACAACAATTTTGAAAGGGTGTGTCCGTACAGTACTCGTTTGCTTTGCTCTCAATCCGGCAGCATTGGCTGCGACGCACCCTGATCATTTTCAAGCTTTAACTAAAGTTTGGCATCAAGTCTATCCACAAGAATTTGCCGACAGTGGTTATGCTAATAAATTTATAGAACCAGCAGCTTATGCATAATATTCCGTAGAGTGGACTTCGATAAACAATTTAAAGACTTTCTGATTCATATATTCCTTACTAATTGTTCGTGCTTTTACTCACTAATGTTTATCATGAAAAGTTATTATTATCGTCAAAAAAAAAAAGAAAGAACAGCAATTTGTTCGTCTAGTTCTAATGTTTCTCTAATAAATGTTGATGTAACAAATAATAAATTTGTTCTTTCTCTAGAACATTTTCTTTTGTAATAAATAACTGAGTGGGTATTTATATGCTGGCATAGGTGAAGAGAAGATTCATCCTACATCCACATGCATGATGGAACTTGTCTTTTCTTTAAGATATAAGTCGTTTTATTGTTTTTGGTTGATTTATCCAATGATTTTTGTCAACCGAAAATCTTTTGCTTTATTATAGAGCGTCTCTTAAATACATTTCAACTAAAATCTTCACATTTATCCGGTATTTCTCGAAGAAAATAGGTAACTTGTCTTGCATATTGACATCTGTTTTCAAATCTTTTTTCATCTTCACCATCGATGAGTATTATTCTTGTTTTTACATAATATTTTATAACCAACGAAAAGAATTTATTACAGTGCATAATAGAACCAAAAACAATAAGAGAATATTGTTGGGATCCTCTCGACTGGTCCCCCTTGCCAATTATCCCAACTGGTCCCCCCTTAATTGACTCTCAATTCGTCCCCAACAAAATTCGTTCCTAGTTGATTGATTCTCAATTCGTCCCCTCAATTAGCCCGTCCCTGTTCAGAAACAATTAGAAACAAATATAGGAATAATAGTCATCAGTCAGAAAATTGATTGCTGCGTAGAGCACTCTGTATATATATATATGATGTTTTCTTAGTAGTGTATTAGTTTCCCTATTGACATTATCTTTGCTCTGAGAAATGCTGCTATTCACATCTTCGGAGCGCGGTCAACCTATACTCAATTACAATTCTCATCAATACACAAAGAAGCGTGCGAGAAAGACGAGCAACGAGTGGCGTTGTCGAGATCGTGGTTGTGCCAGCATGCTTTCTCTTTGCATAGTCGATGCAAAAGTTCTTCGCGAGCCCTCTACTCATACTTTTCAACAACCAGCTTCTGTCGGCAAATCTCTAGTCGACAAAGCAGTTGGTAATATGAAAAAACGTGCACGAGAGGAGACTACGCCGATCCCGAAAACCTATACACAAGAAATCGTTAAAGCTCGTAGGTTGTGGGTGTTGATGTGGATATGGATATGGCTCTAGTCTTCAACCACACCCACACTCACCCGAGAATCTCGAGCTCCTTCTTAACGACCATAAGGGCGGATTGATCACTGACATGCAACTCGCGATCAAATACGGACGCGCTTTGAAGACAAAACTTGTCAAATGATTTTTGTTTCTTTTATTTTTTTTCTTGTTTCTTTGTTACTCTTGAATAAAACAGCTGATTGTTGAAAATCGTCTGTTTATCAAATTAGCCACCAATTAGTGGCTATTGGATTGGGGGACGAATTGAGAATCAATTAACGGGGTATGAATTTTGTGGGGGACGAATTGAGAGTCAATTAATGCGGAGGGGACGAGTTGGGGACGAATTGGGGACCAGTTGGGGACGAGTCGAGAGTAACTCATATTGTTTTGTTTCTATATTTTTTTTTAATTACATTGTCATTGGCTAATTCTTTTATATCACGATCATTAAGTTGAACATATTTTCTTAGAGTCAATGCATATCCAAAACCTAATCCATGTAATTTTTCTCCATAATATTTTGCAGTATGTTTATCGATCCAATACCAATCATTCGTATATATATATATATAAATATGATGAGGGATTATAAACATGTAGTTTTTCGCCGAAAACTAGTGTAAAACCATGCAACATGAAATCTCTCTTATAATCACTTTTTTTATGAGATAATCAATAGATTTAAGAATATATTCAACTAATTTTCGAGTAGACGAACAATATTTAGAATAATAAATAAATCTATGCAGAAGAAGATGATATTGAGTGAAATTGAAATGACGTTTCTCAATTATCAAACTTTTTCGATCAATACTTATGTCATTGTTCGAGCTTCGAGCAATAAATTTTTTTGTGAATGTGCTATTGTAAGTGATCCAGCTTTTTCAAGATTATCAAAATACGAAATAGTACCAGTTGAAAGAATTTCATAATAACGACTACAATCCCAGCCAGCTTTTTTCATGGTAACAGCAAATAAACAAAAACGGTATTTTCATCTGTAATCTATTTCATTTTCAAATTTAAATTGATATGCTTCTTTTAATCTCCAGGTATTAGATCACAAAAAGATCTTGTTTTCTTAGGTAAACATATTTTATCAATATATTGTTCTTTATTATTAATTAATATTTTTGTTGATTTTGTTTTAAATAAATTATTTTCATTACAACCAAATTGTAATAGAAAACACGCAACAGTTTTGTTAATATTTTTATCTCTTGAAATAACGTCTAATTCACGATAGGGACAAAATTTTGATGACGAATAATAATTAATAAGATCATTTAAAATTTGATCCTTATCAGCATCAATAATGATGCGTTGTTTTTGTTCTTCTGAAATGAAACTTATATCAACATCTTTGTCTGAGGCTAAAAGGTGAATATAACACATAAAATTCAACTTCATAATATGGTTCTATACATGGGTTTGAAACGAAAAATTTTAGATCCGATCGTTCACTTAGTTGTCTATTCGATAGTATTAAAGTGACGGTATCGAACATATGATAAGCGTCATGTTTCATCATTATATCTAATACTATGATCTGTGTAAGAACAACAGTGATAACTAAACAGAATATTTTCGAATAATTCAAGTTGAATGATAAAGAATAAATTAAATATTTTTTCAACCATTTACTTAGACGAATCATCTGAAAGAAAAAGAAAATGACTGAGAATTTATTTTATATTGATCTTCTAAAAAGTTTTTTGAAAATATTATGGAAAAATATTGAAACGAAAGTATGTCAAGAAAAATCATCAAATATGCAGAGTATAGTGAAAAAGATTAACTAATCATGAGAAATCGTTAGAATGAAATGATTACAACACTTTGTTTTTGATTTTTTCGATCTAATAAGTGTGTGTCCATTTTCTCTATGAAAGTAAAACTTTGCTTTTTTTTGCGTCACTAATCGATTGAAAATCGGATATTTTTGTCCTGTTCGGTTCTTATTTCAAATTTAACATTTTCTATAATTCATCGAAGAGACTTTGAATGTTCGGAGAGTGTAAATGACCTGCTGCAACATCATACATTTCTCGATTCATTTTTGGTGTTCTTTGAACTAACAGACGATTGATGATTGTTTTTGTTCTATGACATTGTTGTTAATAATGCTATTGATTATTAAGCTCGGAAACACTTACATAGAAACCTGGGAGGACAATTTAAGATCACAGCAAGAAAGAACCGAGAAAAACGTCAGCCCGAATTTATCTAAAGGACTGCACTATTTCTATCTTTTATCTAATCTTAAGGGTATTTTCTAACGGCATTGTAACTTGAGAGAAAAAATTTTTCGCTAAAGTTTTACTAACATTTATTGACTATTTTCAGTTTTTTGAATAGGCTGAAATTCTATTACATATTTTAGTTCCTTCGCTCTCTAACTACTCGATCATAGATGAAAATTTTGGAGAGACGAGGTCCATAAGAACATTCAGATAGTTCTCGAAAACGTGTGCAGAATGAACACTAAAGTAAATATTGCAATCACAATGAAATATGATGAATCGATATGAACTTAAATTACTGCCTTGCGCAGAGTCAGTGAAAATATAGGATAAGAACAAAATCTGAATTGCTTTGGTGGTATGAGTTGGTTACTTTTGTGACTAATGTCTTATCCTTTCCAATATGACTTTTTCAAAAATTTCAGAATATATAGCAACCCAAGCAGACAAATAAAATAAAAAGCGCTATAAAAACTTTGAAGGTTTTTGAGTGATAATCGCATTTCGGAATGATCAACCAAAAACATTCAAAAAAAAAACGCAGCGTAAAAACGATATTTTTTAGACAAGATATAGTTTTTTCACAGTATATGTGTTACAAATTTTTCGTCATTTTAACATTTACTTTCTGTAAATATTTTTGATTTAATATCAAGAACCACAGATAGCATCTTTAAATGTTCAGATTTTCTGTATGTTTACACGCTTCTTTATTTTTCTTCCTTTTCATGCTTTTTCTCATGTCTTTTCAATAAACTAGTAATTCGTGTATACTATTCATAGAATATTGATAATTGATACGCAGATAGATAGATCTGTCTCTTTATCTATTAACTTACCTACAAACCTATCTAGCAAACAGCTTTAGCTAACATTCTATCTATCTATCACACTGACTATCTTTTGATTTAACTACCTACTTAAACATCTAGACATGTGTTTCTGGGTGCCTCTTTTAGTTTGTCTTGTATTTCTTTGGTTTCTAATGGATGTTCATTACAAAATGTTTGAAGTACTTGATTTCGTTGCAGGTAAGACTAATTAGACTTTGCTTCAACAAAGAATGTACGTTTTTTCAACACTAAGTGAGTCTCTTAGCAGATTTCTTCATGACTTTACAATATCTATTTCTGAATCTGCTAATCATTGAACTATTTTAAACTCATTTAGATCTTTATCGTCGATAGATTGTTGAGTTTGACAGCAAAGAGAATTTAGTAGTTGAAAAAGTAATAAATCAATTCGTGAATCAATAAAGGAAATAATAAAGTTAAGGAGAAATCTTCAACATTTACTCATTTGTGATAATGATCAATGGTATTGAACGATGCACATTCTTTATTGAAGCAAATTTTGATAAGATATATGCTTTACTAACATAAAGGACATCATCGTTCTTGTAATAGATATTCATTTGATACTAAACGGATACAACATAGAAAAAAAAATGTTACTGTAATCTACTTCGAGAGTAAAATATAAAACAAGATACAGAAACCTATGTTTTTATATAGAGCTATGATTTCATCTAATAACTGCTATTAGTGTTATGTCTTTCGAGTATTATATTTTTGCACGTTGATAAGAACACGTGTATATAATGAAGTCAATCGGGTTCACTCTATAATTTCTACTTGACTCTATTTTCTTGACTATATTTATAATGGTATGTGCCGAGTTCAAATTTCTGCCCTAATACTTCAACATTAACATTAAATTTTGTTCCACAAAGAAGAAAGAAGAAAAGATTTGTGCTCAGAGATGGAACTAATTACCTATCTGTCTCGTCTATTACAATTTAAAAATGAAATGAACTAAGATATCTTGTTTCATTTTGAATATAAATATACGTTGAAAAAGAAAAAGAAAAAAACTCTTGTACAGAATCATATGCACACTAAAAAATGACAGAAATCAGCATAGTGACACAGAGTTACTTTTGTTATAGTTTTGCGTAAATAAGAGTTTTTTTGCATTGACATACAGAGTTTAACAAACTTCTAAGCATCTTACAGGTATACACCAATAACAATTTTGGCATTTATGTACAAGTTCTATATGTTGCGTGCAACTATTTACAAGACTAAAAGTCATCACGGTGTCCATATGTTGTTTAAAAATTATATTTTCATGTATGTATTTACAATATGTACATGTGTATGCATGTGCTATTATCTTGTATTTACGTGCAACAATCACCAAGTATTTGAAATTGCTTGTATCTTCATGCATAAGATTCGATGTTTTGAAAAATATGTTATAAGTAAAAGCGAGTTTTTGAAAATTTTCTGTACACATATGCGTTTGTTTTTAAACTGTCGCGTTCTACTGAGTAATAAATAAGTAGTTGTACTTTGATGTATTAAGCACACTTATATTCAATTTTAAAAGAAGAAAAGATAAAAGAATTATATATTTGGCTGGAGTCTGTCGTGGTTATAGATGTGTGCGATCGAAATTCAAATTTATAATATAATATTCTACTCTTTTTAAGTAAATTAAATATCATATGAATCACGACATAATTCAAAAGAGTACTAGATAGCCACTCAATAAATTAAAAAATGAATATTGAAGAATGAATTTAGATGTGATACGAATAAATTATGGAATGGTTTTCTTTAGACTGAAATCCAAACCAAAAAACTTGGTCCTACACATCTTTAGTTATGGTCTCTGCTAGAGGTAGGAGTGTGAATTGTTATTCAATATAATTTAACAATTCTTTTAGATTGTGTTTCAAAAAAAAAAAAAAATTAAAATAGATATATTTATTTTTCTCTATTTAGACAACATATATATCTATGCACATACAGAATAAATTTTTAAGATGTCGTCCATTGTCCTGTTTTAATGATTTTGATTAACCATGGAAAACATTTTGAATCAATTAAAATATAAATTCCAAGTGCAATAAATACGAATGGACTGATAAAATGAGCATATTTTTGTGCCAATTTATATATTGGAGGAAAATGTATAAAACAATAACACACAAGACATAAAACACTAACCATGAATAAAAAGCCTGTAGCATAAACAACGATTTCCCATGATTTTGATTTAACAAATATAGGTACATAAATAGCAATATTATCATTTCCATTTGCAATTGTTACAAGACTTACTTTCAGTATTTGTTTAATATGAGTTATACAAGTTTGTTTTTCATTCGATTTAATAATTTCCTATAAAAAAGATCAAATATTGATTATATTAAAAAATATAATTACTTACTGATTCGAATTGAATAAATTCGATTTGTTCATTTTCTAAATTTGATTGTAATTTTTCTTTTTTTTCTTTTCTTTTTTTAAATAAATCTTTAATTAATTTATATAAACCATTTAAACCAAAAAATATAATTAAAAATCCAAGAAAACCAAATAATTTAACTGGTAATATATATGAAATAGTATAACCAATTAAACTTAATGTTAATAAAGTACTAAAACCTAAATATTGACCAAGTACAACATGTCGAGTTTTCAATATACTATCAATTTCAGATGATTCAAGAAAAAAGTTCATTAATATAACAACATCTTGAATATTTGTTAGAATAAATGTTATTACGACTTTTGAAACAAATTTTAATATTTCTACGATCATTATTCATTTATACTAAAGTAGACAACGATGTATTAACAGTATATTTTCAATCGATACTTCTGTATTTTTTTAAGTAAAAAAAAAATGAATATACATCGGGTGACTGTCAAATTAGTTTTTTAATGATGTTTGGTAGAAATATTCATAGTTGATTGAATGATAATGATCAACATTAGAAAAGTAATGTTGAGGACGATATGATGTATTAATATTACCTCGACGATTGATGTTGGTTACTTACAATTATACACTAAGCGAGTTTCATTTTTTCCAAAACTCATCTATTTGAAATTACTAAAAACAAACAAATATAAATCTGTATTTATAAATACTTCATGTTTCATAAATCTTCGTCGAATGTTTAATCATATCAATGAACTATTTATTTGGTTTTTATGGCGATCATTCATAAAAGACATATAGGTAAGAATATAGATTCTATCCATTTCTCAAACGACTAGAATCCATCAAGTTTGAAATATTTGGATCTGAACCTGGGGTCAACTTGATAGGCTCCTAACATTCAATATAAGAAAAAAACAGCTTGTTCAAATATACTGCTTCTTTTTTTTAAATATAGTGCATTTTAATGAGTCAAAAATAGCAAAAAAACAAATAAATAACTCTAGAACAAGAAAAGCAAGCTCTATCTGTTGGGTATAATGTGCAAGAAAAAACGATAGTTTCTATAATGTGAACTATTCAAGAAAATGTTGTTCTTTTGAACAAGTTCAGTGTTTTGCAAGAGATGGAATTGTGATTGAAATAGAATTTCGTTGACAAAAAACTATTCGTTCAAAATAAGTCTCTTTTGAAAAGAAAATCTTCAAATGTTTATAACGTATCGAAATTTAATTCGTTGACAGAATGTTTTCACAAACTATTACAATTTTATTCCTCAATTAATGTGAATAATGATTGATCTAAAATTCAATAAGAAATTTTATTCAATTTTTGCATTTTTTTTGTGGTAAAACCTGATTTTAATATTCATAAAATTATCATATCAATTAAATCATACATTTTCAATTATTTATATAAAAATCAATCGTAATGATCATTATGAAAACTACTTTTAAAAAATTCTTGACATTTCTGTACTTTCCGTCATTTTTTCTTTGTACATTCAACAATATTAAACAATTTTCTTCATCATTTTATGATCAAAAATTCTTTTTATGACAATATCTTATTTGAGAGAAATCGAAAAAAAAAACAAATCATCCATTGACAGAAATACAAATCGTTTTCAATCAGAAAACTTAGGAAAATGGTTAAAATTTGGAAGTAGGAATTTAGTGATTAGATCTGGTACCATGCTCTGCCAGATTATGATTGAAACTAGAAAAATTCGACTACTAGATTCTTGCTTTCAAGTTCCTACGATTTTCTTGAGTTTTTCAACCGGAAATTCACGGATCCGAAAGTTGAAATCATGAATCTAAAATATCCACTACGAATTAAAGATAATTGAACAAAATCGTGTGATCAGTATCTTCTAACTCTGTTACAATAATAGAAATATAACTATTAATCGGTTAACAGAAAGTGTCATGTTTTAATAAGTTAAAATCAAACCTATACATATTGTACACAAATCAGAAAACAAAAACAAAAAAAAAGGAAAAATTAATATTTAACCATTTGTAAAATTTTTTGTTTTAATAGCTTGTACTAACCATGGAAAACACTCTGATTCAATAATAATATAAATTCCAATACCGATAAATGCAAGTGGAACAATATAATGAGCATATTTTTGTGCAATAGATAAGATTGGTCGAAAATTAATAAAGAAATAACAAAATACAAGCCAAATCAAAACCATAAACAAAAATATAACGATATAAATACCAATGTGCCATTTTGTTGCTTGAGCAAATAATGATGCATAAATAGCAACATTATCACCACCATTGGCTAACGTAATGCTTGCGATTTTTAATGTTTGTAGATTAAAACAATGATTTAAAAATTTAAGAAGTTTTTGTTTGAATTTCATCGTTGAAGAAGATTCAATAATATTAGGTTGTTGTTGTCGTATTGTAAATTCAGAAATAACTGGTTCATTAACATCATTTCGATAACGAATTATTTCAAGTTCAATTGTAGAAATATTATCATTTGGAATAATATCATCTATATTAATAATCGACTTTTTATATACTTCAATGATAATTTCGATAGCACCTTTTATACCAAGAATAATCGGTAAAAATCCAAGAAATCCAAGCATTTTAACAGGCAGTGCATATGAAGCACCAAAACCAATAAGACTAATGCCTAACAATATAATAAAACCCAGATATTGACCAATGAAAATATGACGACATTTGAGTGATGAATTTGATATAGTGGCTTCTGTAAAGAAATTCATTAAGACAACAAGATCATCTATATTTGTAACTACGAAAGAAGCAAATGCTGTTCCAATAACTTCTCCAATATTTTTCTTATTGTTACTCATTTTGTTTTTTTAAATATAACAGTGTATACGTTTGTGTTTGATGTTCTTACTAAAAATTCCAATCAACTCTCAACGTATCACTAAAAAAAATGAACAGTTTTTCACTAAACATGTATTAATACTTGATAGTTGTTTTTTTATGGAAACTACAGTTTTCAAATCCTGAGAAACCTTATCAGACGTTTTCTTTTTTTCGAAAGATATTCAATGTGTTGATTAATATAATGCGTATATTGCATGCAATTATTAAGGCAATGAGAAAACGAAAGTTATTATTTAAATTTGTTTCTCAATCAGAAATAAGACATCATTTATTTATTTATGTTTTGTAGATATTTACCTGTTTTGAAAATATTTGACGATCGAATCATAGAAAAAAAAGTAATTAGTTGTTTGCATTGCAAGAAAAAAGAAGAGAACACAAAAATTGTCGATTAATTGGTCTAAACAAAATACAGAATAAATTTGATTAGTTTCTGCTTGAATACCATCAAAAATTTTTTTTCACATTTAATTATACTGATAGAAACGCAAAACGTGAGTCAAGTACGAAAGCAACAAAATACAATGATTGACAGAAAGCAATAAAATTACTCATTGATTGATAGTATTTCGTCATACTTGTTCAAGCATGTTCTATAGTGTTCATTGTTGATCAGACTATTACAAAAATGTTATTCATAAGTTAATAAAAATGATTTTCGTTTTTAATGATATTCTTATTGACTGAGTTTATTAACGACTGAAACAATTTTTTTATTCACTTGTTTATTCTTAAGGTCGACCAAAAGTTCCGACAGAGTCATACGAAATAAAATGGATTAGCTCACTTACTTTTTATAGACAGGAGCTAAGTCATGTGTACACATATATTTATGAGGATTTTGAATAGCTATTTGAAATGAGTTCTTTTTTTCACGCTGGCAACTCAGTCTATCGTGTAACTTTGGATATAGGCGTAAGTGGATGTGAGTGTTGGTGTAAATGTGTATGTATTTGCGAGTTTATGGTGTTCGCATGGATGAGAGTATTAGAATGGTTGCTACATACATCTAAAGCAAAATATCATATCGATGAGAAAGTTCGCAGAGGCATTCGTCTGTGAACTATTCGATAATATTAAATGAAGCTTATCGGAACTATCGTGTATAATATCATGTAGTATGTAATCATAGATTTCGGACAGTTTCATGACAGAACATAATGACGGAGTCGATAATGGACGAAAACATAATGTTTACGTAGTTGTCTCAAGAAACATAACGATAAAAAACTTACCAATGCGGTTCCTTCTGAAACCACAGTGTAGAACTCACGAACGGTGAATTTTATAAAAGTTCGATATACTCTCTTAGCTTTTAACATAATTTATATTTAAAAAATGAAATAAAATACTTTATTTTTAAAAAATACTAATAAAAAAATAATTCAAGATCGCAACACTTTTTATTGTTGCTTGGAGCGCTCTGAAATTTGATCGTTTCAAACTCGCTCATATTTATAATTATTTTTTTACCAATATATTTAATTCATTTAACTTTTTTATAATGTTAAAACTTATTTGTATTACCAGATACATCTTCAATCCATAGCTTCTTTTCTCATAATGATAAAATATCTACTATACTGCGCATGCAATATAAAGTGTCAATTATAATTCTACTCTTCATTTCATCGATTCAACTACTATATAATATTCTGAAAAAGATATTCATTTTATCGCTCAGTAAGTTATCCCACACGATATTCTTTCTCTCGACGAGTTTTGATATATACTACTGAGTTCTGCCTGAAATTAGAATACAATTAGTTCAGATTTTTCTGTGTACGTCCGAATTGAATTCTATTAGATCAAAAACTTGACCGCTCTATTGATTAAAACTTACAATAAGGCCCTTTCGCTGCATGAACAGTTCAAAACTACACCATTAAGACTAAACAGTTAGAATCTACAAAGTTTCAGAATGATGTAAGTACTGATACAACTTACGCGCCATTTCGCGTTGCTATGAAAACATATTCAATAATTTTTGGCTTCCTCCTTCCATGGTTGCTCGGGTCTGGAAGAGTGTTACTGATTTCTGTAATGAGAGAGGAGAGGACTACGTGGGAAGCAGCCAAGACCTTGATTGACAAAATTACACTTACTATTTTCTTCGAAAATATATGTGAGTTCCATAAAATCTTACACGCGATACTGTCCACAATTGCTTGCTTCAGAGATGATTGGATTATTTCGAGTTAATTGGTTAATAGATAATCCATTGAATTTGCAACAATTAGTGAACCTAAAAAATATTAAGCTATCAAATATTTCATCAAATGTCAGCCGAAATCAGCTTGAAAAGATCGAAAAAGCAATTCCAATGTTATAAATATTCATATTTTAACATGTGATAAATAAAATTAAAAAAACCTGAAGTAAATTCTTGTTATTATCATGATGCTTTCACAACGCATCATAACTTTGCATTTCTTTGGTCAATCTAGTAATTACACAAGCTCGAAAAATTCAAGACACGAAACTATTATGAACTTATTTAAATGGTAAAATTTTCTTTAAACATATCATATATTCAACATACATTTCAAAATCTTAAGCACATCAAAAGTTGCCAACTTTGTCGACCAAAATTGTTTCAACGCCACTTAAATTACCAGTATAACTCGTCTACCGAATTCTGGACCATCCGGATGATTTTAGTATTTTGTACTTAAGGTAAAATATTTGCAAACGTATGAACACAATTGTCGACAGCTACCATCGATATCAGGTAAAACATCATTATTTTTGAAAATTTAACTTTCATTATCTTCAACACATTATTCATTTACCTAAGATATCAATTCACATATCCTCTCACTAAAGTAGTTTTCTTGTTTAACTACTCATATACTGGATTGAACGGAATAAATTTGACAATTTGTTGAAAACTACTTATGCTTTAAGTTCTCGTCGAAAACTGTTATTAGCCACTGGGGTGTGGGTGCTCTTGGATGTGTGGGCCTTCTCTTTACTCATACCTTTGTTTCCGAGTGATATTTTACGAGAATCTGAATTGTGCTGTTTATTCTACTACTTTGTCTGGTGCCCTTTTTGTTTTCTGTTGATTTTATTTGAAACAGGAATAATTTTGTTTGCTTCTCATTATCAATAAGCACAGCATTAGTATAATTCGCGATAATTATTGCTGCAAATAAGCATCTTTTGACTAAACTTGATTTCAAATGACGAAACAAACTTTCTATTATCTTTGAAATCTCTGTCGACTCAATGTAAGCTAGTGGATCGATGATTTTTTATTTCAGAAAAACGAATGCTGTGTATAAATGAGCAAATGAATAAATAAGATGATTATCGAAAGTGACTTGGTCCTATAGTTGTGGCTTGAATCAGTGAATAATAATCCACATTTGATCTCTAGCTAGATGAATGAGTAAAAATAGAGTATCTTTTCGATATTGGATTCATGATTTCAATTGGGTCGTGCGCAGACGAACTCATGAGTATCTATAAGTTGATGAGGTCAATTAGAAAAATAGATTTTCTCTCAGTGAATGTGATTATGGGTGATCATCAATAAGCTTTCTTTTACTCAGCACATTACTATTGCGCCGTCAAATTATACAAGATGAACAAAATCTCCATCCTTCACAAATCGTGATCCATAGCGTAGATAACCTCCGTAACGACAGAAAAATGTAAAGGTTGATTGAAATCGAAAATATTTCTATGAATTTTTCACTTTTATTTTTCCTTCTAGAAGTAAACATCATTGATACAATAGAAATCAGAATCTTGGCATCCTACCGTCATACCTGCATTCATTCATAACTCATCTATCCATCTAAGTAGCGCAGCTTGAAATTTTGTTGGGGCGATATCAAAATGATTGAGAATTCTGTATTAAACATTCATGGATAAAACATAGGATTTGAAGTGACGGATCTGAATATTTCCTACACAAATAACAAAAGTCGAAAAAAGCCATAATAACGAATAAACATGGTAATTGCCAAAAAGCAATTGATTGTAGAAATAATACCTTCCCATAACTACGTAGTTAGATAAACACGAAGAGATTGCAGATATCAAAATTATTCAGTTTTCACAAAATACTCTCCTCTTTTGATGTGATGATATCAACTCAATGAATTTAAAGATGAAATGCAACAACAATACTTGTAAATACCGCATCACACTTGTCTTTGTCACGACATGAGATCATCGTTTTTTTGTAATTGTCCGTGACCAGTAGTCTGCCTGTTGCACAATGGTGCAGTCGCACCTATACCTTACTCTAATGAATAAACTAATTGAGCAACTCCACTAAATGAATGATACTTCTCTCATGAATCCCTTGACATTGATTACAACCTATCGTATCCTCTAGAGCATTGCTGATTCCTAAACATTGAGACCAAATTAGGGCGATGCGAGCGCGAATATATGGCATCATGGTGTAGAGCAGAAGAAATCCAAGCGCATCCGTTAACCAATAATTTGAAAAAGCTGCTTCCGTACTGTCAGGAAACAGTATACTACAGAGAAGAGAAATTTGGATTTGCCAATTTGATTCTGATATGTCCAAAAGGCCAGCAATTGTACAGAGAACGATCAAATGTGTAGTTGTGGGTGTGCGCATCCTAGATTGAGATAGAAAATGGTGTGGACCACTTATTTGTATTATACGTCGTAGTAAGCCTCGCCACTATATGATGTCTTGTTTGTATCTATTATGACTGTGTGCTCAGTCTACTACAATTATTCGCAATGATTTGGATGATAATAGTTTGGATATCAAGGCAATTCGGTAACTGGACATAAAAAGAATCGTGTTTAAGAGTTTCAAATTGTTTCTTACACGTAAAAAGTAGAATAAGGTAATGCATAAGCTGTTATTGTCTCAAGAAGTCTTCATTCGTGCATTCATTATTGTTTTTATTAACCTTATAATCAATGGCTGAAGTTTATCTCTTATTTTGTCTTTGTTCTATCTTGTTTGTGTGAAAATCACATGAATTGTTACACAAAATACTGAGTGCAAATTTAAATTGAAGTTTTCTACGGCTCCCTGCTCCTTTCGCTGCAGGTTTCAGTAACCGTAATTAAAGACGCTGAATGATATTAATCGCAAGACTTAGAGGTTTTCAGGATATTCCAGAATCTTCCTTGAAATTGAAATGGCTGGAATACGTTTTTACATGTTCTAAATAACGCAGCTACTGATGTTTTCGAAGCCAAAGGATAATATAAGAGGTGCCGAGGATAATATTTTGAATCACTACAATTGTCATATGTACAACACAAAAGCACAAAATGATTAAGTTCTGATTTTCGAGAAGAATCAATATCAGTCTTTTTGATCTCATCAAGATACGTAATTGATCTTTCAGATTTGTTGTTAATATAGAAAATGTGTACAAGAGGCTTTTTTTATTCATGCAATCAATGTTTATAGTAATAATTGTAAAATATGAAAATAAAATAGAACAAAAGGAAAATTAAATTTGTATTGGACATGTAAAAATAATGAGAAAACGTTTGATGACAATCAATTATTGAAGAAAAAGAAATTATAGTTTTTTAGATATTTTAATATAATCGAACCAAAGAAGATATATGAATTACATATTTTAGTCTGAAAGAAACTGTGTCAACACTAATAACAAATAAGAAAAGAAAAAAAATGAGTTCAAAATTTCTCTTCATAAAATCGAAATCGAAATTTTGTACAATGATTTTTAATTGTTTTTCCCATTGTTGATGGTCCACAAAAGAAAATGCTAACATCATTAGCTGTTGAAGCATTTTCACCTGATATTAATTCATTAAATATATCTTGCCATTGAGGTCGACCAATATGTGTTTTAGATTTTAAACTTGTAAATATATCTTGTCCAGCTATTTGTGCCCAAATTTTTGTAACAAGATCTAATGGTACATGACCAATATTTTCATCATGTTTGATTTCTGTAAAATATAAATGTATATCAAGAAAACGTTTTTCATTGGAATTTGATGCTAAATAATATTCTTGTTCTTGTTCAAATTGACGAAGAAGATTAAGAAACCATTCGAAATTTTTATAATCACGATTAACCCAAATAAAATCAACTTTTTTTAAACGACGATTTCCTACAAGACCTTTAGAACTATAATTAATACCATTACAATGTTTACAAACAACATATGATGCACGAAATTGTGCCATAAGACTTGATAAGATTGATGCATATGGTGTTATACCAATACCACCACCAATTAATACAACATGTTTACAATCAAATACATAACGTGCACATGATGAATAAGGTCCTTTAATAAAAACAGGTTCCCGTTTTCTTAATTTGACATGAGATTTTGTTATAGCACTTTCATTTTCATCATCATCGTCATCAGCATCCTGAATATGATTTTGTTCGATATTTTGAAGATCAACAATTGATTCTTCTGGATGAATATCAGCACGATAGATTTTTATTTGATTTTCTTCAGCATCATCTTTTGACATTTCTTTAAAACGTTGATAAACTTGTTTAGTCCAATTACCAACTGCTTGAATATGTACACGAAGATAATCTGTTTCTTCTGGAGCAGTACTAATTGTAAACGGATGAAATTCATAAAGAGCAACACATGGTAAATTAATGCTGATATAATCGCCAGGTTTGAAACTAAAAAATTCAAATGAACAAAAGAAAATATCCAGAAATGTAACCTGACGCATTGGTCGACAACGACTGAAATTTTTCGATGATTTCTTTGTAAAAATTTTCTTAATTTTGAAATGAAACAGAGGGAAAGAGAGAACGATGGTAGAAAACTTACTAACACGAACTTAGGCAGTAACATATCTAAAAAACTGATTTAAGGTATGAAACATTTTTTTAAAAACACAGGTATCTATTTTTGTGTTGCAGTGGCGACAACAATTCACCGCTATTATCTTATTGATTTTCTAGCAGAAAGATTCTAATAATGTTCAATATGATCTTATCAAAATTCATGATGTTTGATTCAATAATTCAATCCATGAATATTTTACAATAGAGTAACAGTAAATTCTTGAAGTCAACATTACTACGAATATCTTGCAAAATGCTTTTTTTTGACTATGATCATCATCTTTTCTCTCTTTACCATTGTAGTATACTTATAATAACTCGATAATCTTATCTCTGATCTGTCTAGATACTATTTTTTTTCTTGAATCAACCGATATGACTGTTTTTTTTTGTTTTCAATTTACTGATGTTCACAAGAAACATTTTACCATTCACATGCTAGACAAACAAGATAATTCAACATTTAGACATGTGATTTTATTTTTTTTGCCAAGTTTCTATATCCTATTCGAGAAACTCTTTTATTTAGAAATGATTAGTAAATTCTACTTCTTTTTGTCAAACACGATCTAGAAGAACTGTTAAATTATAGAGGATAAAAGTTTGCAATTCCTTAATCCTCCTTCCCCAAGAGATCATGACACATGGTCCTTTTTCCGTCCCATATGTGAACAACTTTTTAGTAAAGTTCTAAAGGATTAAGTAAATGCCGATGACGAAATATGTCACAAAATAGATCGAATTAAACGGTTTTCATATGATTAATAACAACAGCTACATCGTGTTTCATACTTTAATCCCATAGGGATTGTGCTAAAAGTTCTTTCCCTCTTATTAGTTTTATTGATAACCTCTTATTGTATCACTACTAATTTGTTGTTTCTTAATGTCATTGATTATTGTGAAAGTAAAAATACATGTATAACATGTTTATATACTCGAGATGCACTATCAGTAAAATAATGAAACAGGAATGACGCAACGGACAGCGATAGTCTCAAAATAATGATGGAGGTAGACATCGTCAAAAAATCTTTTGGGCGAGCAATGCCGTTGTTCGTACTCCTTTTATTGGCCAAGATATAAAAAATCATAGTCAACTATATAGTAACTGCAGCTAACGGTAATATGAGAGATTTTTTTCATATGTGTGATAGTATAGTATTTCCTAATGAAAATCATTTCTGTTCGATATCAACAATCTTACTTAAAATTTTTTGGTCGATAAATATTTAAACTAATCACATTTGATTGTTCAATTGTAACCGAATGCAAATAAGTTCGTCCACTTCTTGATGAATATCTTTTTAGAATAGAATAAAGTTTTTCAAGTAATAATAATGATAATGGACCAACAATCCATTTCTAAATATCATAATTCTAATTAAATCAAATATATCTTATTTCAAAATTTACCCAAAAATTTTCAGCATGAATAATAAGAAAAACAAAAAATGGTAAATAAAGTAAATGTGTCCAATAGAAAATCTAAAACAATAATCAACTAAACGAACAAGAAAATCAATATAATTACTTGAAAATGACCACCACGTCGAATCCATTGCATTGAACAAACAACAATTATAGTAAGAATCACACATAAAATAACACCACTTAATGGTGTAAAACCATGAATCCAACCAATATTAGGTTTCGTAGTGAACTAAAAATAAATTTTCTTTTTTAGTCAACTTTCTAATATTGTTTATATTCAAATAAATTTACCATATATGTCACCCATGAATAATCTAAACATTCAAAAACAAACAAAGCAAAAAAAAAGAAAATTTTTTTTTTTCGTATTTTTTAAACTCAAATAATTTTTTTTACCGTCAAGTCTTGCAAAATTTGCAATATGTGCAATAGTATGTAAAATAGATAAACCGGCAATAATACGTCCAATAACTTTGTGAAAATCAATATGATCATCAACAGGTATTAATTTTCGTAAGAATTTATGTGTTCGAATAAATAATATCGTATGTTTAAGCATAAGTATAATAACAAGTGCACAATTAAAATTTAATAACATCCCACCAATACGGGCAAATATAACAAGAACATTAGATTTTATTATAATTGTTCGATAAATAATAACATAAATAAGTAAAGCAAGATTAGTTAATAAATAAAGAAGTAAAAGAATTATACGTGAAAGATTATCTTTAATATAATCAATTGTTAATTTATTTGTTCGCTGTTCATAAATTTTTTGTTGCCAATAATAGTTTGAAAAAAACTGTCGTAATTTATTTTCTTTTCCTGATGGAGTAGATGGCGATTTTATAAACCATGTTGGATGAACCGTAAATTGTGATAAAGATTCAAGTAATGTAGAATCTTTTGATACAATTGAATAAAATTCTTCAAAATCAATTTGAGATTTCTATAGAAAAATTAATGATTTCAACGAGAATCTTTCAATTTATTTATTTTTTTATCTATTGAATTTTATTCCGTCTCGAATACAAAACAGCTAGATAGGTCTAATCTATCATGCTAAGACGAATGGTGATACTTGTTTTTTTAGGTTCGAAATCATTACGTTCGAAATGTCTTCTTTTTTGTTAGATGGCAGCTGATTGTAAAATTTCAGATTTATTGAGATAAGAGTGTTAGCTCATTTTGAACTTAAAAACAAGTATCATTATGCATCTCACCATAGTAGATTATCACTGTCCAGCTACATTTTCGAATGATCATAAGTCAATGGACTGAAAATGAAGGTCTCAGGAAAAGTCTTATAAACCTCGAGTAAAACTAGTCAAGAATATTGGCCTTGCATAAACCGAAAGAGAAAAATTTTTTCTATCGAGTAGCCTTATTCAAAGTCTATATGAAAAAAAAACTAGCTTCAAAATATCGTGTTCCGAAATTTCTATCAAGATTTCATATGATTGATCAATTTTTTTATTAATCAAGTTTCAATATATTTTGATGATCTCGAGTCTTCTCTCTTGAAAGGTGAAAACCACAGGTTTTTAGATATTTCTGTTCCTAAACTATTGCAACAATACATATGGCAATTATATTTTTTGGACAGAGGATAGTTGCGATTTCGATCTCGTCGAATTTAAAATTAACAAAAGTTTTGAGCGAAATCGAAAATAAAACTGCTGATCTTGTTTATTTCGAATTGATTATTGAATAAGGAAAATATTAATGATTCAACTACTGACTGCATAATATCAAAGTAGTGTTTCATACTTATAAACAATAAACTGAATTTTTTCCGACAAGAAATGGAATCAAAAAAAGGTTCCTTCAGTCCATGTCTAGTTGAAACCGTTTTGTCAGATATTTTGCTATTACTAATTTGATAAAAACATGTCGACTAGTCAGTATAAAATCTCTATAATGAGAATATTTCTTTTTTTGATGAGTACTAATGAGTAATAGAAAAGTCTAGAATGGTTTGCTTTTACGAATCTTCATCTTTGAACATCTTTCTGTTGAAAAACCCTATTGAATTTCAATTTTTTTCTAGAATAAAGGCTCGGAAAGGCAAATACTTCTAGATTTTTCTATTACTTACTGACATCCTATAAAAAAACATCTTCTCACTTAAAAATCGATTTGATATCTGGACATTTTCTCTTATGATTTGTAATAAAGGCAAAAGAAATAGAAAGTAAGGCGTTTATCTTATGCAACATTTGTTTTTTAGTATCTATTCAAATTTTTGTCTTATAAATTTTTATCATCTATAAAATGAATATACAAAGAGAAGAAATATTCGACAATGTCATAAGAAAAAATATAATTTAACTATTGTTGGTCATTATTGCCGTTTCACTTACTTGATCAAGATGAAATTTTTGAAGAAGTACTTGAATTACTTCTTGTAATCGATTTTCATCAAATGTTTTTAGATATTTTAAATATTTCTCATAAAATTGTGTTAATCCATTACTTGTGACATAATCATCACCAGCTTCATCAAGTATTAGAAAAAATACAAGTGCACGTACATCAATTGTACTATTTAATATGCGTGTTAACTTTTGTACTTCAGATTTACTTAATGTTTGTATATCTTTATTATTATCTGTTGATAAATAAAGTATACGTACAAGACGTTCAATAATAAATGGTTGAGTATTAAGTAATTTTGATACTTTTTCAATAGATAGTTTTTCATTACTTAACTGATCACTAGCACGACGTATGAATGTTGGTAATGATTCTTCAGGTTCATTGAGTAAGCTTCGTAATTGTATATCGGCTCTTTGACGATGTGCCATTGTTCGTTGAAGTAAACTTTAATAAATAATTGGTTTTTTTTTATTAAATATATTTCTTTATTTAAACATATTTACTTGTTGAAAAATCTACCACTATGTCCTGATGATGTTCGAAAGAAAGCTGAAAAATTTGGAGTTGATTGTGTATTAATTTTGCGTCTTAAAGGTCGTTGTTGTTCTTGCATGACTGTTGTGATAATAACTGCTGGTTGTGAAGATTCACTCATCTCAAGAACAGTATGTGATGTTGAAAGACTAAGTATCATTAAAATATATTATAAACTCTTAACTTATAGAATAATTTCTATTATTGTTGAATATATTTTTCTTACCTGTTAGACATAATGTTATATATAAAAATGAATGATTTACCTTTGTAAGGGCTATATTTAAACGCGAATACTGCCTTATGTAACAATATTATTGTACGAAGTAAGGTATATGGTCTTTCGAAAGGTTTATAATAGGGAAAACTGGATTTCTACCTCGACGAAAACGAAGCATTAGGATGAGACAAACAAAAAAGAATACATTCGACGACTATAATGAATGTGACGTATTATTTTGTTTAGAAAAAAAAATCTGATCCCTCGCACGATATGATGATAATTATCTTATTGATAGTCATTTGATGCATCAATTTGTACCATAACTAAGGAGAAAGTAGGCGAAAATATTATCAGACATGAGTAATATCATTAATATCTAGCTTGTATGATGTTGTTATTCAAGCGAACAAAAAAATATTTGCAATAAGGATATAGGTAATTGCAATGTTTGCCATTTGAAAATTTTTATAATCGGGCAAATGCTTTTAAAAATAGAATTCAAACTTCTTACCCTGTTTTTCTATTAGTTTTAAAATCGATTTGAAAATCAAGATATTCAAACGGTCGTTTTATTTGAGATTTAAACTTGAATTAATTCGATGTTTTCTATATTATTTTTGTTTGATTTTGGTCATTCTAATCTAACTATATTTTAACATATAGTTCTGTGGAAATCTTCGAATAAAATCCGATTCTTTAGAGGCAATTAAAAAAATTCAATCAAAAAAAGTTTGTATTTTTCATAGCATTACTATGCAATGAAGAATTCATTATTTTACAAATTATGTACTTATAATATTCAACAATGAAACATTTTCATACAAACTTCAAATACCGTGTTTCAAAGTAACATTATTAATAAAAAAATACTTCTGTTTTCTTCTTCATATTAATTCAATCTTTTCGTTATTTTGACTATGATTTGCCTATTTATACATTTGTTCACTTTGAAAGTTTGTATTGCATGATATGTTATATGTTCTACATGAATGCCAATGAACTCTATTGTAGGTTACATTAGTATTGATGTTCTACATAGACCTTCGAGTTCTTAAATTTCTCTTAAGATTTATTTAAGTTTTCTTTTTTTTTTTCATAAAAAACTTAAGATTTAGAAAGATACTTTATTAAGTAATACGACTTTTTTATTTAATATATAATCATATTTTAAGAAGTTTAAACTTAATTAACATCGCCAATCAGGAATACATTGACTTCTTAGATGAGATCTTCGAGTATAACCACGTTTACAAAAGCAACCTGGGATACATTGATATGTACATGGTTTGAAATATCTTGCATGTCTTACATCAGCACATGTAAGAGGACAAGCTGAACCACATATTTGATATTCTTGATGAGCACCTAAACACATTCGTCCAAATACAAATCCTAAAAGATTAAAGTTTCATAATAGAAAAATGAATAACAAATATAAATACCATGTATTTGAATGGCAAAAAATGTTAGAAATAAGATAAATAATAGACTGATATGAGTCGACAGAGTCATGTCTAGTATGTAAATGGAATGTGATATATGTTTTAAATGACTTCTCGATTTAAATTGCAAAAAAGAGAAAGAAAAAAGTACACATAGACAAATTGACTGATAACGATTGGTGAAAAGTAGAGTATATAATATACAATTTCTTTTCTCTCGTCTTTCAACTATTTTACAAACATTCGATGTACACTTGAAATTTCAAGAGTATCTGTAAGATAATGACGAACTTAATTTGAAAACAATCAAAAAATGAAAATACGATTTTTTATGATATAGATTAGAAGACTGAAGCAAGATATAAATGAATCAAGAGCTATATCAAAATGAAATAGTTTTTTTTCTTCGGATAGAGTTACATGTTACCGTCATGTGTTAATGACAACTAATGACTAAAAAAAGAACATTGTTATCAATAAAATAATAAAACATTTTGTATTTGTAACTTTAGAATTCGAATAAAAAAACATTATGGTTCATCTTTTTTTTTTAATGTAATAATATTCACAAAAAACTAGAAATTTTTGGTTCAACGCAATTCTTTTTAACATTCATCTCGTTTGATACAAGGGCTGTTGGTACTGTTATCTTTACGAATATAAGTCGGCATGCAGAAACAGCCGGCAACACATTGTTTTGTGCAGGCTCCAGGAGTATAATCACATGTTTCAGGACAAGCCGTACCACAATTTGTATATTCTTCACATTGACCTTGGCAACATTCTTTTGGTTGGACACATGCACCATTTTCTGTGCGATATAAACCTTCTTCACAAAAACAACCAGCAACACATTGTAAAGTGCAGAACTTGGGTTTTTGTGGATAAAAAAGATCTTTACAACTTCGTGGACATGCTGAACCACATTGATCATATACTTGGTTTTCACCACACTTCGAAGATGTCTTTTTATTAGAACATTGACGCTTTAGAATACAAGGACTGCCAATTGCATTCGATTTTCGAACATATCTATGTTTGCAAAAGCAACCAAATCTACAATTTGCAGTGCAAATTCGTGGTTTATAATTACAGGTTTCAATACAAGTTGGTCCACATATAAATTGTTCATGTGCACCACATCTAACATGAAAGTTTGATTTAATAAAGTTGATAGAGCCTATAATTGAAAAGAAAAAAAAAATAAAATCATCAAGAAAAAGATTTGATGTGTACAATATTACCTCTTTGAGTATGGACAATACCAATTATCAAGAAGAGCAGAATTCCAATGTTAAAGATAGAATGTATGATAATATACTTTGTTATATAATCAAATAAAGACATGTAAATATGTTTGTTATATAATCAAATAAAGACATGCAAATATGTTTGTTATTTTTATACTCAGTAAAAATATAAGTAAAGGTAAACCAAGTGTAAACCAAAATAGACACAATTACTCATCTGGAGGCTTTTTATCATAAGCGGAGTAAAAGAACGAATGAATATGATAAGGTTTTACGCGGTTTAGTTTCTCCTAAAGACAACATAAATAGATAATCATCACATTGGACTATTATTATCATTATTACTCAAGCAAACTCATTCAAACGCAATAATCTTCTATTATTGAATCTAAAAAAATTATGCACTGTTTGATAAATGAAAATACACGTAAATGATATCTTATTACTTTTTTGACTTTATTTCTATAAAAAGATAAAATTTCAAATTCTTACTCAATAAATTAAAGATGCCTCGAAGTATTTCATTAGCGAATATATATTAAAATTTATCGTAAGTTAGGTAAATTTCAATAGACTTATTAGAGAAATTTCATACGTTATCATATTGTTTTTCGAAAAATTTTCGCGTTTTTTTCAGAAGTCTCTCAATTTGAGGAAGACTTTTATGTTTTCATTTTTGTCAACACAAAATACAACGCTTTAATATTAATCAATTAGCGCTTCAATGCACTGAGGCTTAGGTTCGCATGTTTGTATGCTTTCGTCAATATTAGATTCTCTAATATTTCAAAGTTGACAATGGTTGAAGGCAATCAGTCAGAACTGGAATTGATTAAAAATAAAACTGTTAGCTTCATGGATTCACATAGATTTCAAAAGTCATTCGTACACCGTTAGTATCGCAAACTCATATTGATGATTTGTGACTCTGGATATTTCTATTGAAAATCAATAGCAAAGTGTTGATGTGGCTAAGATTTTCAATCGTGTCAAAGTCGCTCAGATTATTCGATTCATTGTTTCAACGACAATAAATTCAAGAATGTGGATGGGTGTAAGAGCAGATCCTGTTGTTATCTTCAACTACATATTACATGTGCATATAAACCTTCCTTAAGTAGTAAGTAAAAATAAAAGGTGAAATGGCAGACAAAATGCCTACTCACATACACCAGCACCCCACTATCAATCAAACTAAAATCGACACACACTCATGCTCACCTCATCCAGTAATAAAATGTTGAAATACGAACATATGATATTGTTCGAATTGTGTTTTTCGTCAAGTCCTATATCAATTTTTGTTTAGAATGCAGACATCTTCTCCGAGAAAAATGTTTATTATATATGAATATGAAAAGTTGTGAGAATCGAAAGAATCAACGAGAAATACGCAGACTTGGATATTTTCATATCAATTATTTGATACAATCAAGCGCTTACTGATTTTTCTGGTTCTCTCTGAAATTTTTCTTCTGCGCCAAGTTAGTTTTGAATCTCTCATCATTACTTTATGTGATATAGCAAACACAAGAAATAAGTCTTGCTTTATCATGTTGTATTTGCTAAACGATGAACAGAAATAGTGAATGCATTAGATGATGCTAGAGCACGACTCTCATGAGATTGAAAGCGAGTCTTCTCGAATTTCAGAGTGACTAAAACACTATACTGACACTGAGTATAAATAGACAATAGTTATAAATGTATTGATTATCTTTCTTTGTCGTTTGTTTATTAATCTTTTTACATCAGACAACAGATTTAGAATGTTTTTGTATGAACAGAGTGCCTCAACGAAAAAACTCCTATTTGATGCTTAAGTACGATCTCAGTTTTGTTTCCTCTTTACTACTGTCATTCGTGTTTATTTTCATCATATTAGTGATTAGTATTCAACAGCAAAATGCGGTCCGACAGAAGATATTCTCTTCATCCATATTGACACCTCATAGGCATATCCTATTTTGATTATTTATTGAACTTTAAAATAATTATTATTATAAGCGATTAGTCTATTTGTGTTCATTTTGTTGGAAATATATTCATAATTCACGAAACAGTAAATCAATATCACAACCTAACAATTGTTTGTCAATAGATTGTACTTCTCGATTGTATTGTTAAATCTATTACTCGTATACAGATTCCCATACCCGTCAAAAAAAGATTTTGAAATTGATGACCCAGAAGCAATAGCAATCGGATATGTTGTACCTGGTATCAATTTGTATACACCACTGTACATAGTCAAATAGATAATGCCATAATCATCACTAGAGAAAGACGATGCCCATCAATATGAATATGAAGAGAATATGATGGTGCCATTTGGATTTCCTGGTGAAAATTTGAGCACTCGTCTAAGAATAGAAGAATGAGAAGAGAATAAAGCATAATGCAAACGATAAAAAAAAACATGCATACCCATTGCCAGAATAAAGAACAAATATATTTCCCGTTTTGTCAACATATATCGCTGAAGGATAATTGAGTTCATTCAACTGATATCCTGATGAGCCATTTGTTCTACCTGCTACAATAACCAGTGTTGAAGTGTACGGAACAATTTTGACAATACGATGATTTTGACTGTCGCTACAGTAGATTCCACCTTGGCTATCCACGAAGAGACTTTTACAACTGCAAAGTTCATTTGGTGCTGTTCCACAGGTTGCTTCTCCGAACAGAGTGACACCTGTAATTCCATCGGCGGCTGAATACCGTCGGAAGCGATAAAGCCTTTGATACGTTGCATGATCATACTGAAGATAGAATACAAATAATCAATCATTTTTTGTGTGTCAATATCTATAGACAGTAACGCTCAAAATCGCTCATATACCTAACAAATGATCTTGCTTCTCTTATATCGCAAGATTCTTTCAGCATACAGAGTTCTGGCTTTTGTCAAAATGTACCATTCCTTTCATAGTTTATGGGATCAAAATATTACCTCGCTGCATCAGATACTTTCTTCACTAGATCAAAAAATCTAATAACAAAAAGTTGCCTAACTATTTGGAGATTTCTTCTTGTTTATATATATATATATATATATATGGATTTAAAATCGCTATCAACATTTTTCTTTGGCTACTTTCTGATTGAGGAAGAGTTTTCCTACGGAACCTCTATAGATCAAATTTCTCTTTCGAATAATGATACTTTTTCTTTCAATATTCTTCCTAACCAACACATTTTCGAATGAAAGTATTTTTCTTCTCTGTTATAGTGAACAGAGAACTTAACTTAAACTGAAATCTCAAAATATTTTCATTTCAATTTCGCACTGACTCTTCTACTTCTTATTGTGTGCAGTTAAAAAAAACATTCGTTTTTTCTGTATTTGATAAATTTCGAAAATTTTTCTATTAAAATTCAAGAATTTGGGATTATTATTTTATGCGAAAAAAACAACTTACTCGACTTTCAGCTGTATAGATAGCACCGGACGAATGCACAAACATTGCTTCCATACAATAAGTTCGTTAAATGTGATATTTTTCTTATTCGAATAATAACGATTTGTGACCTATAAACTGTGTCTGTTGATAATATAAAATATGGCATAAGAGTGCTAAGTATATGTCTGTTTATGCATGAGAAAGAAATCATGACTGAATAAATGTAAAAATGTCTTACAGAATGTTCGAAAAGTTCGTCGAGAAAGTGAACTTACATATCTCTTATAGAGTTCAAGCGATTTCATTGGCTATTGTTAATGAAATGAAAAAAACCTTTACAATAGTGCCAGCATTTGAAGATGTTTCATTGTTCACAAACATCAAACACATTATCGACTTTTCTTCATTTAGTTTTGCTGATCTTCCAGAACGCTCTCACTTTTTCAGTGTACCAGTTTCAGAACAGCAATCAAATGTTACTTTTATACACTCTTCATTGAATGTAATTTTGCCAAACTAGACTCATAGTTTTCGTTTTACAACGAAGGAAACTCAAATTTGACCATGTATACAACGATTTTTATTCTAATGTGTGTAGACATGAACATTTATATAACAATATGCAGAGCAATAGTTTACATAACATATTTTTATATTATTTACAAAAACAAATCAATTAAATCGCTTGAACTCTATAAGAGATATGTAAGTTCACTTTCTCGACGAACTTTTCGAACATTCTGTAAGACATTTTTACATTTATTCAACGAAAAGTCCAGAAATTGACGTATATGTTTGATTACATTTGAATAAACTTCTGTTAGTTGTGACTAAAGTCATTGTTTACAGGTTGATATTGTCGTACTCTAATGATTATTCCATCTTGATATTGAATTTGATTTCATTGTAGGCAATTAGCTTTTTTAAAATTTAATCTTGATTTATTCGATCGATCATAATGTACATTAGATTCAATAAGTATATATATGCTAGACATTCACGCTCTGTATTCTAGCGACCTGCAGTATTCATTAATTACGAGACGATACATCTTTTACTTTGATTATATTCAGGATAAAATCATTTTAAAAGCAATGATTTTCACAAAACATTAGAAAAATCCCTAAACATTAGGACAGTTCAATATTATTCGAGGGTGAAAAATGATCGTTTTAATTATATCTTGAACTAGAGACCTCAAGTTCCTCTATCTAAGACATCATTGTTAATTAAAATTGTATAGAAATGAGAGTAAATTTTTAGAAATTTATTTTAGAATATTGTGTAAAAATGATTGCTTTTCAAATGATTTCGGCTTACATAGAACTAGAGTAAAAGATGCCTCAATGTCTTGTCTTTCAACTAGTGGCAATCACAAGTCGCTAGCTATTACTAGTCTCGAGATATTCGTCTTACACACATTACTACTTAATTCTAGCACCTACAATAGATCATTGTCTTGTTACTCCTGTAAATAAAGTAGATCTTGTTCTTATCCTTGGAGATGAATGTACAACAGAAATGACCAAAAAATACTGATGTCATAGAAATCTCTATTCCAATTTGCTTTTCAATATTTTAAACTTTTTACTGTTCAGTAGACAACGGCTAAAATTTCTTCTTCTAGTGTAGCATATTTTCAGTGAATAGAACAGGAATAAATATAGTGTAAAAAAAAGAAATTTGAGGATCACTCAGTCTTCTTCTTGTTTTGTATCAATAGTTTTAGATGATAAGGAAAATTCTCTCAGTTCTATGTTATCAGAATTCGATTTTATTTAATTTTTACAGTACAACGCCAGAAGATAATTCATTGTAGAGTCTCAATAATCTGAAATGATTTTTTGTTAAATTGGTTTTGGTTTTATTGTAGGAATCGCATATCATACTTTATGTTTCTATTTAACTTTCATCATCCTCTGATGAATTTTTAGTTGAAATACCGAAATGAAATAGTCGAATTTATTCGTTGCTCTTTTTGCTGTTCTCATGAATTGTAGTTGGAAAGCGGAGAGTTTTCAGACAAAGAACTTCATCTAATGTACTTCTCTTTTTGTCAGGACTCATTGTATTTCATTGATCGACGAAAGTTTGATTAGTTTCTTTAATCATAATAGATAATAGTAATAAGCACTAATCGACGATCTTGCCCTATTCTTTCCAGGTTCTTGTTTTTCTTGGTTTTCAGACAAGATTCTTTTTCCATTCCTTCTATACAAGATTCTTGCCTGAAAAAACTGATCTTGCCTTTCTGACAAGATTCGTGTAGACCGAATCTTGGCTGGTGAGGCAAGAAGTTCTTCTCCAGACAAGATTCTTGTATTCTTGCTTTCTTGTCTGATTCTTATTTTTCTTGATGTTCATGCCTGATTCTTTTTTTCTTAGATTCTTGTCTGTTTCTTATTTCTTGTGTTTCTTGCCTGATTCTGGTCACATAAACAACTCCTTTTGTAGGTTCTTATTACTCTCTTTTTCATATCATTTTATTATAAGCTTTGCACACCACGTACAAAAAAATTAAAAAAAACCAAAAAAAATACGTTTAATTTCACGTGTTATTAAAGCAGTTTCAGTTTTTAACACAAAAAGAAAACAAAATTTTCATTAATATCAGATAAATATTGATGTGATTCATTCTAAAAAAAGAACAGTGTAAAAATTTCTATTTTGAGCTAGCTCAATTAAAATAAGTTATTTACAATTTGTTCAACTAGTAAACGATGTATAGATAATTGAGTACGATGATGTTGATCTTTTTTCTTGGCACGTCATTGACGTTGTTTATCTGTATGTGGTGATGACTCTAAAAAAATAGTATATGAGTCAAAAAGATATAAAGTGCATATAGATATTACCTATATTACCAAGAGCATTATCAAATAATAATTTTTTGAACGAATTGAGATTTCCTTCGTCCATTAAAAAAACACTTTTGTGGATAATGAAAGAAAATCTAAAAAAACATAAAATAGAAAGATATGGATTGGTAAAATATCGAAATGTGTTCAATAAGTGTAAGTTTTCGAAAACAATGGAAAAAAAGATGTCATATATTCCACTGTTTTCTCGATATCGAATGGAAACTTTTTTTATACATTCAATTGAAAATGAGTTGCTAGATGTCATTTGAATGAAATGAACGCTTTAGGAAAAGTACATATTCAAAGTGAATTGTACTACCTATCGAATGAATAATGAATAAATAACGTTCAGACATTGCCTTTATATATTTGATTATACAAAGACGACATCACGTGCCGTTGATCTTGGAAAGCTAGCAAGAATATTTTTCTTTCCTATCATAAGAATCTTGTCTGAATACTAAGAAATTTAAAATATCTTATACTTCTTTCCAGTTTCTGTTTTTTCATAATTTTCAGACAAGATTCTTTTTAAAAGAAAAGAAAAAGATTCTTGTCTGAACGTTAAATACATCTTGAATATCTTATGATTCTTGCCTGATTCTTTTATTTCTGATTAATCAGACGAGATTCTTGTCATCTTGAAATTCAGACAAGATTCTTTTTACTTTCCTGTCGAAAAGAATCTTGCCTGAATACAGGAATCTTGTCTGAAAGTAAAGAAAAACAAGAACCTGAAAAGAATAGGGCAAGATCGTCGATTAGTGAGATAGAGAATTTTTGAAAACGTAATTAAACATTAGACGAATAACATAATAAAACTATACCAATAAACCGAGTTACAATTTTTTAAATGAGATATTAAAATCTTGTCTATTGACTAGTCTAAGATTTCTTTTTCGAATTCTAGAACATTAGGCGATTACTGTGACTCTCATCGAGAACAATCATCAATCGATCGACTACATATTCACCGATAT